GAGATGGCTCAGCAGACTAAGCGCCTGCATAGGCAAGTGCAGGGCCCGGGGTTCAATCCTCTGTACTGCATGCCGCCCCGGCTCTCCCCCTAGGTGCTCTGAGCCAGCCACGGAGACTGGGCGTGGTGGCGCACACCTGTAACCCCAGTGCTGGGGAGGCTGAAGACAGGAGAAGCACTACGAGTCCAAACTGCATAGTGAGACCCTGTATCAAATACATTAAAAAAAGGAAGCAGAGGCAGCAAATGCAATGAGAAGGGCACATGAAGAATGCACAGCACAGCCTTCTGAAAAACATAAAATTCATCATTCCTCATCTGCCTAAGGAAAAAAAAAATGGAGTCTAAGTAGCAAAAGACAGTAACATATGGCAGGTAGGTTGATTGGGTTTGGAGTCAAGGCATGTGAGAGATACGTAGCACAAGTAGCTCTATATTTTCATTTAAAAATCCTATAGCCAAGCCAGGTATTCCTATCCCAGCTTCAAGTACCATGGCAGCAATTAAATCTATTTATTCATATGCAATTTTTTAATAAAGCAACCTAAAACAATGATTCAGGAATAAAAATTACTAATAAAATTGAGTAACTTACTAAGAAACTTAGTAACTAATATTGTAATGTTAATGTAATATCTTTTAGTAATAAAATTAATAACTCACAAAAATGAGTAAAAATGCTCACAAAACAAGCTAACACAACACTTGCCTGCCTCCAGACACACACACTTCTAAACTAAAGAAAGCCCATTACCAGGCCTGATCAATCAGCCCAACCCCGTTAATAAGTTTGTAACGGCTTAACTGATGCTGCACATATTCATCCAGTTAATGGAGAAGCGTCTGTTGGTCACCTTTGCTGGTTAGAGCCTGGGGTGTGAATGTGTTAATAGGTGTCTCAGTTTGGAGAGAGAGAATGCATACGGATTAGATAGAACTAAAAAGCTATCAGTAACTAACAGTGTTATTTAGGAAGTGAATGTAAGTGATTTCTACCCGGGTTTTCATCTGTAAATTGGAAGAGTCTAGTGCTTTTAGGATCAAATAAGACAGTGGCTATGGTTCCCTTTTCAAAAGCTAAGGGAGCGCTACAAATGTCAAGCCCTGTCAATTTGGATACTACCCTGCAAGGCTGGTCCCTAGGTACGGGCTGGCCACAGTCTCTCTTTTTGACTATCTTTCCTCTACACATGCAGCACTTCACTCAAAACCAACCTGAACATCACATACAAGGGACAGATAAGCACCAAGAAAATCCAAATGAATCGGCAGTACCATTGCATGTTAAAAAGAAAGACCTAGATTCATGTTGAACTTCATTTTCGTGGTGCATAACTCTCCTTTCCAAAGGTCCTATTAACTTCAAAGGGAGCTCCGTGCATGTAAATCATTATATTTATTGGATGCGCCAACCCCTTCTTATCCTCCAGGCACAATTAGAAATATCATAGAAAAATGAATGTCAGAGACTTGGATCCATACTTGATATTCTATGGGAAATTTCCTGTGGTTACAGATGTTAAAAATTCTGCCCAATGGTCCAGTTGTGATTTCGCAGTATTTCCTTCTTTACATCCTTGGAATTACTTTTTCTCTGATTTTAGAATACTTGTCTTAAAGGAAACATACTCTCTAGAGATAAAAATCTTGGCTGTTGGACAACTTGGTATAGTAATGAAAACGAAGACTACACTGCCCCTGTCTTTACAGGAATAGTCAGTGCTTCCCTGAGTTCATCCCATTGATAGTTACAGCGATTCTGTTCCTGTTTCAGGTTCACTGTGGGAACTGTGATGAGCGTCAGTGTCTAGGAATTGAATTCCCGAATTTCAGTGTTCGTTGTAAATCTAGACCATTACCAATTTTCTTGTTAGCACCTCGGTTTCTCCAGTTGAAATCTGCACAATCAATAAAAATCCATGGTTAGATAGATGTCTGCAGCCCTACATTTTTGACTCCAATGTAGTTTCTGCACTTTAAATTCAGTAGTTTTGTGGTTCATGATGGAAGTATCTCTCGCATTGCCTGAGACAAAAAACTTGAAGTCCCCTCTCTGTCCTGTCAGTGATACTAAGACCCTGTGTTACAGATGTGGCACCTCACGTTACGTGTCATTCTCTGTGTGTACCAATAGAAAAAGGCATCTAGGAGAGCAGGTTAGGGCTCTACATATTTTTCAAGGTGATGATGTGGAGAAAAATGTCTCTCTAAGTGAGCACTTATAGCTATTATGAAAGAGAAAATTATAATTAAATGCCAGAAAAAGACTTCGCCAGAAATGTATCCACATAGGATAGATAGTTTGAAAGACATACCTCTTTTATAATGTTTTGGTAAGAAATGTATTAAAAAGATTCATTCTCATCAGTTTATAGGCAAAGGCTTATCAAAGTAATTTGTAGCCACTGAATTATACCCAAGCAGTAAACATGCAAGAACAGTCTACTTTTAGTAGGTGTTTATAGAACAAAATAATCCAAAGTATATATAAAATCAAATTTCTAGTGAAAATGTGTGTAAGTAGGTTTATTTTGAAAGGAAAAGTCCTGCTCCTAGTGTCATAACCAATTAAATTCTCCAGGTAATGACCCCATTTGCATAGTGAGCGGAACCCACAAGTGGGAATTTTAATGGGTACACCACCTGAGTACAGTAATTGAGAGTGACACAACTTGAACTAGTTTTGTGCTTATCCCACTGAAAATTCTACTCATATTATTTTTAATGTCAAGCTACAAGTCAAATTTCAAGATGATGGATTTGTTCTTTTTTAAGCACTGAGTTTGAATAAAAGAAATGCTTTAATTCTTTTATGCATTGCAGATCTTTGCTTTAACTAATCTGTAGTTCTGAGCCTCACCATTGCTTCATTTTCTCCAGTGATTGGAATTTAATTTTGTTCGTTAATTTGTGAATAATTAGATAAAAATAATGCCCTCAGCTGCTAAATTGCTTTTGGATTGCAAGTTAACATATTTTTTTTTTTGCCAGAATATGTATTATGTAGTTAAACTGGCATAACAGTTTGCTAAAATATAATTGCATAAATATGTTCCAATTGTTCGTTCCAATGATCGAATGAAACCGAAAGCAGTACATATTCTTGGGTCATTCACTGTACTCTCCTCGGTATCAACAAAATGCAGCTTCTGCACGTTGATCAGAGATGCCTCGTCATCTGAAGGTACTGCTTTGAAAGACGCTCTCCTCTCTCAGGCACTATTCATGTCCTTGAAAGAATTGTGCATTCTGAGTGCGGGAGCCTGTGACGTCCATGTTAAATTATATAATAAAAGGTGATTCTAAGACTCTCGGAGTCAGATGCACAAGATGAACTGTGCCACCTAGGTTCTGAGGTGACATTTCAAACCTCCTTTGTTTCACCCTAAGATTGTGTGCGACGCTAAGTGTTTGTAGGTGTTTGACACCACTCCGCCACATCTGTAATTGGCATAGCACCCAGCAGACAGGCTCTGTACTTCTGTACACTGCAGCCTACCAAGTTAAGAAATGTATTGGTTCAATATAAAACAGCAGGCTGTTTTTAGACATAGTTACTAGTGCACAAGCTTTAATATGGTTTGGCTTCCTTCTATAATGAGATCTTTTGGTTCCCCGCTCAACAGGCTTTTATTCCTTTGCAAAAGGCTATGAACTATGTCAAGTGGATCAGCTGCTTTTGTACACTCTCTTTCTTGGCTTTGGACTGTAATTCCTTTGCTTCTACCCTTTAAGCACCAGAGAGAATTTAAGAACTTCAATTTTTTTTAAGCTTAACTTAGAATGTGTTTGAATTTGCTTTGCACCATTTTCCTAATATTTATGTTCTCAACTGAACTTCGCAAAAAAGGGCTTGCCTAGAAGAGAATGCCTAAGCGCAAAAGCGTTTGTCTTTAACACACAGCTGTAACCGATGTTGGCAATGTGTCAAAAGCCAGTTTTCTAAAATGATTTCTTCAGGATAACCTCAGAAACAAATGACTTGCTTTTAGTGTCCACTAAATGGCATGAAGTGAGGGATTCTGGGTATACATAATAAACAAACAACAGAAAGGGAACACTATTAGCCACCGGTCAGTGAGAAGGCAGAGAGTACTTGCCCTCACCTGCATGACCTGACCAAACACCACATCCTGCCCCACCTGGATGAGGAACTGGGCACGATCTCTGCTTGCCTACCCGCTCTACTTCTGGAGGCAGAGGAGGGTGGGAGGAGAGCCAAGACTTGGCTTATAATCTGTTAATCTCCAGACTGTCTACTGACCTCGTTAAAATGTGATCACGTGAGTGATCTTTCGAGTCACAGTGCCTCACAGCAAATGGCCCAGCCTTTTGTTCACAGGACAGTTTGCCCTGGGAAGGGACTGTGAATCCACTCCCCAGTGGTGTCGTTTGTTAAGCTCATCCTCCACAGCAGAACTACAGCAGTGTCCTCTCTCCACCAACTTTTCCATTTTAACCAAAATCTCTGGAGACAATCTTTAATGGAAAGTAACAAACAGGAGCCTCACGGGTGCAGCTACCCGTGTTCTCACAGCAGTGACAAGCTTCTTCTCTGGCTTGCAACTTTTTGAGGATTATGTGACTTTTTTGAAGCTCCATGTCAAGCAGAGAGAAAGCACTTTCCATACGCTTCTTGGTTACAGGAGTAGATGGAGGTAAAAAGTGAAAAGTTCTTCCTTAAAATGCCAAATCCTGAGTCAAAACTGTGACTAATAAAGGTGAGAACAAACCAATCAATACGGTAACATGGTATGCTGACCTGGTTCACTTTACTACATTGGTATAGAAGGAAGATAAAAACGGGTATTGCAGTCTTTGATGAAATTGTACTTTGTACCTTTGCATGGCTGTAGCAATCCAACAGTGAACGGTTGTAAAGGTTTGAATAATTTGAAAATAATCTTATTAATGAGTGAACTATTCCATCAGGAAGATAGGTGAAGCATTTAATTAGCATTAAAGGTAAGTCATCAAGTCCCTGCGCTCAAGTCTTTGCTACCTCATCAGTGACGTCTGACATCAATACCAGGAGAGTCTAGGGTGTCGGGAGAGTTTATAAAAGTGAACAATGCAAAGGCTGTACACCAGGTTGCCTCGGTTACTCCTTAAACTGCACAAATGACACTGTGTTCAGGTGAAGAAAATGTATACAGATGATCATGTTGGAAGGACACAAAATAAAATGGCAACTTCCCCTTTTCTGAAAGAGTTCTACTTTCTTGTGTACATAGCTGAAAAACATTTTTAAAAAAATGTACCAGTAAAAATCCCTAGATGGAATCACATCTGGTGATTTACTTTTGAGAGAGAGTAATATTCGATAGATTGAATATCTAATTTCATACATCCGAGCATTTTTTGCTGTTTAAGCTCAGCATATAGAAAATTTGCTTAATTTTATAAGTTAAGATATAATCTCCAAATAAGTACATGAAATCAGAATTATAAATTAAATTTCTGACAGAATTCTCCTTTGAATATTTCTCCCGAGTAGCTGTCGGCCTTCTCTCTTAGCCCAACCCTTCTCCTTTAAATCAACTGTCATCTATTTAAGCAGAAAACTTTCTTAGAGGAAGCAAACAAAATATACGAAAAAGGTATGAAATTTAAAGTCTGACAGATGTGAGTTTTTGAAAGAGTGTTGCGCTTTGATATCATGTATCAACTCTGCTTTCACTTGTAACACATTCTATTTCTCTACAGATCAGTTATGAACATTACATATAGAAGGTAGTCTCCAGAAAGGGATATAACAGGAATAAGAAGTAAAGAAAAATCTGAGATTGCAAATAACAGTTAAGTGAAGCCAAACATAAGTCTATTACTGTATCAATTAGATATAAAAACATGACAAAGCACAACAAAGAAGTCATTTTTAAAGTTTTAAAATATATTCACGATAATACAGGTCCAGTTTAAAAATATTTAACATCAAGTTTCCACTTTTAAAAGGAAATGCAGTACATAACTGCAAAATTATAGCACTTAGCTATGACGGTCACATAATTCAGTAAGACGTTTAACATACAGAAATTCTACAATATATTGAAACTATTTTCACATTTGTCTACTTTTATGCTTTTTAAAACTTTTTAATTACACAAGATTCTTTATGGCACAACTGCTTGAAGTAATCAAATCAAGAAAAGTATTAGATGTATAATTATGAAAATAAATTCTGGTATTCATTAATGTTGTCTGTTACAGAGAAGCATTATTTGAAATGTGTTAGTAATTTCACTGCAAATAGTAAAAGGATATATTTAAGTATCGGACAAACCACTTAGCTGAAAATTTCTGCAGATTAACAAGTCAAATTTCTAACAACTCCAGGTCACGAGCAAGTTCTATGAGCCTATGAGTAGAGACTATTCTTCTATACTAATACATGAATATAATTTAATTTTGGGTATATGTAGCTAATTATATCCTCATCATTTTATGTAACAAATCAAAGACACGCTTTAGAAGAAAAGAAAAATAGCTGTGTACGGAACTGTATTTAAATCCAGTAATTTAAAGGTTATGTATGTATGTCTACGTGAATACCACCGAAAAAGAACTATGAGTTAGTTAACATTTTTTTTTCTCTTCTTAAGGCCTTACATAATAACGTAACTGAAAACTAGGACCCATCTCAAAAGAAAAACCACAGGCTTCACACAATTCAGGTTTTAAAAATCGTTTATAAATTTAGGTTTCCTAAAAATAGGACTTTATTATCATTTGGGTAATCAGCCAGAAATACTAACAATAACTATTAATCCTAGTTTCAAAATTTGTCTAAGGAATTACCGTGAACAAAACCAAGCTATAATTCTGGAGAGACCAAATTCGCAGGAGGACACATACAACAGAAATACATCTCCTTTTCTTCTAAGCTTCCCACACTTAGGACTCTGTGGCTATCTGATTAATTTTGCAATGGCCACCCTCCTGCATTACCTTCCAGACGGGCTTAATGTATCTTACAATTGCAATACTTAATTTGATCACACTGGTAAATGTCAGGGTTGCCCCCGTACTGGAAAGAATGGTTTACATCTTGGGACCCGTGAGATAGCTCAGCGGTCTAAAGTGCTCGCTTAGGCCAGCGCAGGGACCATGGATCGATCCCCGGCGCCACATGCCATGCCAGCCCCACACCTAGGGTGGGCTGAGCCTGACCCCCCCAAAAAGGAATAGTTTATATCCAAGATTAACTGTATTTATGAAGTATAACCATAGTTAAGAAACAAACCAAAACAAGCAGACAGCATGATTCCAGCAGACTTGAAGCTCTCAAAAGAAATCCTTTGAAAAAAATCAAAATCAGGATAGCGAGATGTAATATTAATATATCTCCTAATAAATGAAATTTGTTAAAAATAATCTGTATTTCTATAAACTCTAGCCTATTTCACAGGGTAGTTAGTGGATCTACTGTAACATTTTAATCATACACATAGAAGGGTATGCTTTGGCTTATTTAAATATCATTTAAAAAAAATTCGTATCCCTCCACCTAAAACAGGGGGAAGCTGTAGGAATTTTTCTACACACTGAGTAGGGGCGCGCACAGTTCAGGCCATCCATCTAGAACTTGGCTCCTAGATCTAAGCAATTCATTTAAGTGGTAGACGGAGCCCTCGTTCTAAGAGGGTCTACTTAGCTCCCTCGTGTTTCCTGAAGCCTTCCTCAATACTGAGGTGGTTCCTGTCTGTTTATTCCTGTGGCCCTTTGTGTCTTCCTTCTTCCTATAATTCTCAATGTGTTCTGGGATACTCTGCTTCTGAACAGTCTCTTTCCTCTACCACAGGCATGACGCCGTGGACAACTGTGGGCTGATATTCATCCCTTGAGGCCTGGACTAGAAGACACCGAAACTGGCATTCGGCATCTAGTAAACAAGGGGTCAGGCAGCAAGAGAGTGCCGCATGCACCTCGGTGTCCAGGTGGGGAGGAAGGTTGTTTCCTGAAGTTTAAATTAAATATATTGCTTTCAACATCTAGCAGATAAATATAAAACATAAGTGGTTTGGTTTTAATACCCACTTGAGAAGTAATATATTTGGAGCAATTACTTCAAATACTTCTGTTTCTTCTAAGGAGAAGAAACAGAAATATCAGTAAAAAGAGGATACAGTTAATATTTTTTGGTGTTTTCTTCTGTGTAAGTGTATGAGTGTGTATGTTGTACTTCAGTTATCATAATCTATTACAAAGTTTCAAAAATCAGTTTAAGTAGTTAAAATTTCACATAACAAACCATGTAGACTGGTGAAAAAAAATGGCTTAAGAGAATACTTAACAATAAGGAGTCGACAGTGCAAATACCAAGTTCTTCCAACAGAATCTTACTATGTGTTTTTCAATCCCTTTGAAGAAAATTCCAAAAATGTTCTCCAGTTTTAACGCACAAGAAAGACCAACGTCTATGAAGGAAAGCAGATCCCACAGCACTCCATGCAGATCTCCAAGCAGTCTGAAGACTCGCAGCACGCGTCCATAATGCCGCAGTCCATGTCGCACGGGCAGGAGCAGCCCTCCCCCACGTCGTCCCCACAGCAGCAGCAGCAGGCCTCTGACGTGCAGACGCCGCAGGAAGCTTGTCCTAGGACAATGTTGCAGAGGGTCAGGAATTCACAGAACAAGCACGCCAGGATGCAGTGGACGCAGCAGTCTTCGTTTTTCAGTGGTGAGGGGACAGCGTCGGTGAGAAAAAGGAGTACAAAATAGATATTGTCAGTAGAACGCATAAGAGCTGAGCAAAGTCCCAACCTCAATGACATGCAGCCCCAGAAGTTTCATTTAGGAGCTGGAGGGTAAAAAAGGGGCTCAAAGCAAAATCTTTAGTAAGTCATCTTATAGCAGTAAATGTTGTTTTAGTGGGAAAAAAAGAGCTGTGTATATGTGGGTTGTGTGTGACACTTTTACTCTGACGCTGTCCCCCCTGTGTGACAGCCCTTGGTTTAAGTACCTCTTCTCTGTGCTTCTAACTTACCACGCCTACAGCCTACTGTCCTCTGTGACACTGGTCTAAAACAGTCTGCGACATTTATTAAGTGGCAGTTCCCCTCAACTACTTCATACAGAAGTAGCCCAAAGATACTAGTATGAATGCTTATACAAGAGCACAGGCAAACGCAGGTCACAGACCCTCTATGGAAAACCAGAACTTTGCAAAGCCATGGACTTGGATTTGTGTGGAGAGACTTTGTGATTCTTCTAAATGATCAGACACTACAAAAACATTAAACTAATGAAATGTGCGGGGTGTATCACTTGTTAAAGCAGAATCCATTCAGCTGGATCCCTGTTTTCCAAATGACTCAATTTCAACAAATTCTTTCAAAATTGGAAATGAGTTAAAGAAAAAGACAGTGAGACTCTCTAACAGGGTCCAACTGTTATTACTGGAATAGCTGCGCCTACAGCAAGCATGGGCGGTGTCTAAGGAACCTGACTTTGGTCTGCACACTTTGTCTGTATTACTTCTTAACACTTCTCTAAACAACAGTTTAGAAAAAATTCATTAACCAGAAGAAAGACAGGAAAACAAAATGCTATTTAAGAAGTGCTGCCATATTTTAGAATTATTTTCTTTAACACTTTAGGGCCAGGAGCAATTCTACTTCCGGCTGACACTAACACATATACCAAAATTTTTAAAGACAAGTGTTTGAAATGTTTGTCCAACATGTGAAATATTTATGAAGTTTTTTCCAAGATTAATTCTAGTCTATTTTGTGGATTTTTGCATTTTGTACAACGTCAGCTTTAATAAGGGGACTCCACAACTTACAACACTGATAAGGCACCACAGTCTTATCTTCATCCTATTGCCTAACCCAATATGTGTTTCTGTATTCGGCATTAAAATTGCACGATGACCATGTAACTTCATCAAGTTTCATGAAAACCGGAGAGTGAAAGCGAAAAATAAGCAACAGCTTGTTATTAATAGCAGGTAGTATCTCTGGAATGCTGGAGACAAGTGTCCCTCCTCCGTTACGCCCCGCAATTCTGGATGAAGACCCCATCTGACGGAACCCCTCCAACATCACTGTCACGGCTGCCTCAGGTACAGGAACACAGGCCCATCCCGAAGGGTCTCTCCACAATGCTCCCCCGCTACACACACACACACACACACACACACACACGCACACGCACACACCCATACCACATTTCACTGCAGGATTCACCTCTGCTGAGAATTCAGAGTAAAAGAAAGATACAAGGAAACACAAAGTCTTACTCTATGTGCTAGAGAGAAAATAAAGGAGAAAGGATCAGAAAAGAACACCAGAGCTGCTTGTAGAAGTAAAATCTAAAAACAATATGCACCCATGTTATGGTTTGTGTCTAGTTGTCCCCCCAAAGCCTCATGCAGTCATGGGGTGAGGACTTCTAGAGTTTGTGTTAACTCATGATCCACTGGGATTATGTGTGATCCAAGGCTGGGATTATGGGTCATAGTACTGCTGGGATTACCTATAGGTGGGTAAGTACTGGGAAGTACCCATAGGTGTGACTACTTCCCCTACCCTGGGGCAGGTAATTTGCATTTACAATGTAAGGTGGGAAGAGAAGCTAGCTGCTTGAGCTGCTGCGACCCCTCCCTCGCGCTCTTGCTCTTTGCCACCACCATGAAAGGTTGCTTTTTTGCTCTGTGCTGCTCTGCGTTGGACCCAGCTGAGTATGGACTGAAACCTCCAGTAACTGTGAGCTAAATAAACCTTTCCTTCCTTCATTTTGAGTGTCGGGTATTTGTCTCAGCAACAAGAAAAGAGTAACTAAGACAACCCATCATCCTTTAGCCCTTCACGGTGCCTGACTCACTCTCATGCGGAGCCCATAGCAAGCTGGGAAAGATCGTGGAGTTGTGAGGGTCTCTGCGTCTTTTCATCTTAGAAGACCCCTGAAATCGGCCCACAGGAATCTGAGCCCAAGGCTTTGCAAAGTTGGGGTTTCAAGAGAGTGTCTGCGGTTACCTCACCAACATTCTTTCCATAAACTTTCAGCTCAGTATCTGTTTGATATTTATGTCTGTTCAACTGAGCTTTTCCAGGATCACAGTACCATCATGACTTGTAAAATATTATAAATGTTATAGTTACTTCATGATTTTTATGAAAATATTAACTAGAGGCATACAAGTTCTACTTAACACAACTTTTAATGAATATACGAGCTGATTCCAAAAATATTTTATTGTGATTTAACTCTATTCAATGCTTAAATTTCAACACCAAGAGAAAAATCCCATCGAAGAATCTTTTTTTTTTTTTTTTCCATTGAAGAATCTTTAACTGAGTACGCTTTGTTTGTTTGCTTGTTTTGGTACCAGGAATCAAATTAAGGGCCTTGTGCTCGCCAAACAGATGTTTTGAGTATTCTTAAAATGAGAAGAATGGCTATTGAGCATAAACATTCTTGACATACTAACAATAAGATATACCATAAATAGAACTATATGTAATGGATTGATCAGTTTTAAAGGAGAAAGATTGTCCAACTCAACGTTAGAAATAGAACGTTATGATATACATTTCTACATAATCAGAAGGGAAAGACTATCTTATGAATTCCCATGAGTGGCCTTTTTGTTTAATGTCATGTGTTTCAGCTATATCGACACTGATAGTTCACTGATTTCCTGACTACTGTGACCAGCTGAATAAATACACCACAGTAAATATATCCATTAAAGTATTACTGATGGATGCTGGTGTCCTTTTCGGTGGTTTTACTGTCTCACATTGTTCACAAATTACTCCAAGTAGAATTACTGGGTCATACGATTGCACGTTTAATCTGGTACCTAATTTGTTCCCAAAATGATTGCTCCAAGATTTACTCCCACCAAGTCTGAGACTACTGACAACTCCACAATTTTTGATACTGTCACCCTTTAATACATACTAATTAGTCGAATATGAAACAGAATCTCATGGTGCTTTCATTTTGCATTTGGTTGCTGACTAACATGACATCTTTTATGTCGGCTGGCTTTTGAAGTTCCTTTTCTTCAACACAGATATTCATGTGTGCATACTGTTCCCTTATCCTTCAAGTGACTTTCTTCTTTTCATTTAGTTCTAGAAGTATTTTTATATTCAAGATTCTAGTCCTTTGTCGAATATGATTATCTTCCCTCAATATGTGGCAGGGCCTTTCTAAGTTAAAATATCAAGAACAAAAGAGCTAATTTTTTAGACTGTGAGATTTGGAGGCAAGGAAGTCCTTGTCAAACCTTGTACTGAGCTACAGATACAGTTCAGGAAGCAAATTCATGGCTACACATCTGAAAAACAAATTAATGAAAAGATGAGCAGGAACTAACAATATGGTAGAAGAAGAAAAATGAAGTTTAATGTCTGATTCAAAACAAGGAAGGCCTACTATACCTGAGTATAGAAAGGAAAAAGAACCCAGTATGTGCTCAGCATGGAAAATGTCCTTGGTGTGAAATCCCTCAAAGGATGAGGAACAAATTGAAATTCAAACTGAACAACTTTGCACTGCTTAGGGATACATTCATTTATAATCTTAGCTTCCTTCCAAGTATTAGACTATCATGACGGATGACACACAGAAATTAGATACCTTAGACTAAGCAATGATCTTTAAGCTTCTTTTAGTTTACACCATGTACAAATTACATTTTTTAAGCATTGTTTTCTTGTTACTAGGCAATGGAAGTGAATTGCTTGTCCTCACACAGATCGTGCTTTCTCTAACCTGTCTGCTAGGACAAAACCTGCTTAACCAGTATGGATAACTGGCTGCTTTATCTTGAAGAAAAAATTGAACATTAATTCATGAAAAGTATTAACAGTAATGCCTTGGTCCATGAAGTACTTGTCAACCACGCTTGCGGATCTAAGCACCACCGCTGATGCTCTTGTTTACAAACTCTGTCTGCATCAGCTGATGAGCTCCATTGTGTCATCTTGCCCAAAGGAACACGAATGTGGCCCTCTCTTCCAGAATCATGGAACAAATTAAGTTCATAAACAGAAGCACCACTGTACTTGTTTTCAAAATGAAAAAAAAAAAATGTTATCCCAAAATCAAGAGAGAAATATTCAATTAAAAATACTTCCTAAATTTAAGAAATTATCTGGTACTAAGTGTGTTTTAAGATAGTTTACAAATATTGATACTTTTAATCCTAATGTTACTAGGAAATAGTTGTCGTATTATCCCTACTTTATCAAGGTGGAGAGTGACCTACAGAAGAGTTAAGAGATTTTGGGGGCTGGCAAGACAGCTCAGTGGACTAAAGCACCTACTTAGACAAGTTTAGACAAGTGTAGGGACCATGGTTCAATCCCAGGCACTACATGACATGCCCGCCCTCAGGGCAGGCTGAGCCTGCCAGAGTTCGGGTATGGTTGTGTACGCTTGTAATCCCAGTGCTTAGTGAGACCCTGCAACAACAACAGAAGAAAGAGGAGGAGGAAGAGAAGGGCAAGGAGGAGAGGGAGGAGGAAGTGGAAGAGGAGGAAGAGGAAGAGGAAGAGGAAGAGGAAGAGGAAGAAGAAGAAGAAGAAGAAGAAGAAGAAGAAGAAGAAGAAGAAGAAGAAGAAGAAGAAGAAGAAGAAGAAGAACAAAAAGAACAAGAACAAGAAGACGACGACAATGATGACTTTACCAAGGCCATAGGGCGGCAAA